TGACCAGGGAGAGCAAAGCTCTGCTCTTAGGCAGCTTTAGTCTTCCAAGTAAGCTTCTCTGAGATTAAGTTTCCCCATCTGCAAACAGTGATGCCACTTCCCCTTTCTTCAGGCTGGGAAATTATGATAGTCAATGAACTGATTGACTCTATAGATGCTATTCCAAACTTAAGGACTGCTGCGACCAAACCCAATCCTGGGGGGCAGGGGTGGGAGGAAAAGGAGCTGCCCCCAACTCCTATTAGCTCACCTGGGCACAGGATGCTGGGCTGGGGAAGGTGCAAAGGGAGGCTGCAGAGGTACCTACCTAAATGGGGTGGCACTGAGAAGTCTTCCATTGGATTCTGATTGAAGAATTCCTGGGGTGGGAAGGGCTGGCCTGGGAAAAAGGGGGCATCCTGGGGCAAGGGTGTGAAGAGAGGAGGTGGAGAGGGCTGAGGAAGAGGGTAGGAAAAAGACATGGGAGGGGGCAAAGGAGAGGGTGGGGGCAAGGCCAGCTGCTCCCCAAAGTCGGGGGACTGCCTATGGCTTCCCTGGAACAGATGATCCATGTCTGGCCAGTCCTCCATCCATGGGTCTAGGAGAGGGATGGATTTTTTAGGCAGGCCTATGGAGTAAGGTTGCCCTGAGCTTTGGTTCTCTACACTTCCAAGGCTCTACTCCCTCTGGTTGGAGACCAGGGAAACCAGGTGGAGCACTGTGCCTTCTATCCAGTCTTTCTCACTCTGTCTTATATAGGCTAAGCCCAAGCCCTTATATGTTCCTTCTTTCTGCCTCTGGAAACCTACCCTTGTTCTGAATTCATGCTCCCCTCCAGAGCCTTCTCCCTTTGTATGTCCAGTTCCTGTATCTTTAGCTTCTTGCTCTCCCCACAGACCCAACGTAAAGCCATAAGTAAGCCAAACATAAAGATCCTATTACTCCCTTCTCCAACTAGCTGTGTTTTCTTTCTAAAGAAAGACCTGGGGAGTCCCAGGTCTGGGGGAGTCAAGCTGTCCTGAGCTGTTCCACAACAAACATTTTGCTCAATTTCCATTCCCTCCTCAACTGCTGACTGCTTCTTTTAAACCCTACTCCACTTGCTCAATGCTTTTCCTATTAAATGTAACCACTTGCTAACAAATTACAAAACTGCTTTCTTCCCAAGTGTCACAGGACACCACTAATGACTTCTGTCCTCTCTGAAAGTGCCTCTGCCCTCATCCCCTTTTGTTTCTACCATTTGCCCCTCTTTCCTGTTCACATCTAAAGTGTGAGCATTGCTCTGCTTTCTCCTTCAAAGTTCATGTTCATGCCCTTGGCTTTCAACTCTCTGCTGGGAACTTGTGACTCCAAATCTACTCCATATTTTCCCAGTACCTCAAATAAATCTGTCCTAACCAAATTCACCAACTCATTCTCCCACATCAAATCAGCTCCTGCTTTTGACATCCCTAACTTCTGGAGCTCCAAATTGGATTTTGGAGGCCTGAGCCCCCACAAATTAGCCTTAGAACATTTAGAAAGTCCCTTTCGTGGCTGGAAATCAATTCTCTCACCTAACAATCAAGGAAATCAGACCATTATGTAATCAAAGTCCTATTCACCTCTTTGATGCTCCAACTCCTGGCCTCCCTGTGCCCCTCACACCCTCTTATGTTGTGACAAACAGCCATCTAACATGACTTGTGTTACCAATTCCACAAACACTATTCTGTCAGTACTACGTACAGAGCAATTGCGCTAGACAATGGGGCTGAAAGGGGGGAACTGTCCGACAGTCCTGGGCAAGAAACTTGCTCTTTGGGGACATAATGCAGAAGACACACAGCCATAGAGACAACCAGCCATGAGGCCCATTTTGTGGGCATGTGGGAACTGGGAGGCTGACAAGGAAATCGATGTTCTGCAGCAGAGTGAGTTACAGCTGAAATGTGATGGGAACAGTGTCTCAAAAGAAGCAGGAAGGATAGAGCCCTCAGAAGGCTCCACCAATGACCCAGACATGGGGCCAGATGAAAGTTGCACCAAGCCACAGCCAGTCACACTGGGAGGCTGAGGCTGACCTAAGACACCTATGGCATGTTGTCCACGAAGTCCACCCCCATGAGGCTGACCTTCCTGATGCTGTATTTCTGCTCAACAACATTCCAGCTGACTGTGTACTCCACCCCCAACCAACAGACTTACTTGCTTTTGCCATCTTTCCCTTAATCGCCCTTCCTCCATTTGTCTTTTTGTCCCCCACACCTCTGCCTAGCTTGAAGTGTCTCCATTTCTTTTCTGTTCATCTGTTGAGATCTTTTAACAAGCTGCCTTATATGACCAATGCTTATATAACCTTGTTCACGTACAGTAGATGATCACATGACTAAACTGTAGAACACTGGAACTCAGACAAGAACATTGCTCCTAGGATCTAACCTTTCTCAGGGGACAAGGGAGAAGCATTCAGGAGCCACAGGTTCTTCCAGGGACCGTTACTTCCCTTGAGTAGCTTTGTCCTGTTCCATTTCTGAACCTTGTGTTCTGAGGGCCCTCTCCTCTCTACCCTCCCCTCCTTGTGATAGGGCTCACCAGGGGCACAGTTACGCTTGGGCAGCTCCACGCCCCAGGCATCAGCCACATGGGTCAGAAGCAGCTGTGAGAGGTGGCGATGTGCATGTTGGTCCCAGTGGACACCATCCCGATGACGATGCTGTACTGCATGCCGGAAATGAAAGTGGAGGTCTAGGACATCAAAACAGTGGTCCCCAGCCAGTGTAGCACTGTAGAAGTTCCCTTCAACCACATCCCGCCGCAGAGTGCCTGCCAGAGGCTGAAGCTGAGTGAGAAAGTGAAGAGCCACAGAATTAAGCAGGATCGGGAAGGAGGGTCCCCTATCTACTAGCCAACTGTCCCATCTCTTGTTCTGAGGAGCCTCAGTCACTTGCCTCTGGCAGGAGGAAACCCCCAGTGACACGCTCCCCCAGGGGCATTGCCATGTTCCACACCCTCAGGCAGGAGTCTGGCAACACCTGGTCCATACGCAAAAATACCCGCTCCAGGTTCTCTCGATAGCTCTCCATTGAGCAGCGGCCATACCTGTTGGGTACCACACAGGGTGGGCAAAAGCACAGGGGTTGACTACCCCCAACCAGTCCTTTCCTTTCCCGTCCCAACCTGGAGAGATCCCAGAGGCAGGAGTTGATGATCACCAGGTCCGGGGCAGGCCCATATGTCAGCTCCTCCAAGACATTCTCGAGGTACTCAGAGTAAACGCGGGTGAGGAAGTAGAAGCGCACAAGGTGATGGCCAGAACCCGAGCAGAACTGGCGAACCTCACGGTACTGTGTCCCGTTGTGCAGCTCACCCAGCTGGCCCCCAGCCACCAGCTGGTCCTGTTCAAAGCTCAGCTCTCCCTACCCGGCCCCCACCCCGCCAGTCAGATCCATGCCAGGGAGGAGGACCCTGCCAGGCCAGGGTCTGTGCCCGCCCACCAATGGCATGGCTGCCAAGCTTCCCTCACCTTGGCTTTCAGTTGGGCAGCTGTGAGGAGAGAGTCTTTCTGTAGCAGAAGCACCAGGTCCTTGTATACAGCCCGCTGGACTGTGGGGAGATGGAAATCCCAAAGGTGCAGCGGACTTCAACCCACCCCAGATACTCCCAAGTCCAGGCCTCCCATCTTCCCAGGGCTGGGCTCCCCAATACTAGCTCTGTGGAGTGTTGACAGAGAAGGAGAAGAAAAGATGAGGTTAAAAATTCCTGCCACTGTCTGTTCTTTCTGTGGGTCTCCCTGCTCACAGCATATGGTGACCCAAGATCATCTGGCAGGAGTGAAGTCGGCCAAGTCACCAGGAGTCATACAACATAATCTATGGCCCTTGTGAGGGAAATTATGGAGGACTGTTTAGGAGAGAAAGGCTGAACAAGAATGAGCTGACAAGTCCACAGGTTACATTAGTACCCCTGTGGCAGATGTGGGGGGAAATAAAAATAAGATAAAGTCTGCTGGACTAAGACAGGCAGACAGGAGGTCTGAATGGAGACACAAGGTCCAGACATAGATCAGGATGCAGGTGTGGGATTGGGAAGCGTCATCGTAGAGGCGGCACTCACTGGAGTCCCCCAAGATGACCACGAATTTGTTGTGTAGCAGCTGCTGGACTTCCGAGGCCTGGAAGTGGACCATGGCGCTTCGCAGCGGGTGGCGCGGCTCGTCGTTTTCCAGACAGAAGACCATGCCTCCACAGACAACGACGGGCTGCAGGGACAGGACACTAAGCCGCGCGAGGGCGGGGACTCAGAGAAGGTCGGCCTCAGGGCCCGCCCCGAAACAAGCAAGACCTGCGCCAGCCCCTCCTGGACTGCTCAGAGCTACAGGGAAAAGGTGGGAATCAGTGGTGGCGCCAGCACTGGTCACATGTGGACCAGCAGTAGGGGTGGCCCAGCTAGCCGACCTCCAGGGCGATGAAGCGCTTCCCGCGCGGCGCCGCCCTGCGCCCCGCCACGTGCCCGCCACTGCCTCGCGCATGCGCGCGACCGCTCGCGCCAATTACCTAGTCTGGGGCTCCGCGCGGTTCACCCACGACCAGGGCAAGCTCGCGCAACGTGCGCCTCGCCCGCAGCGGGTTCCTGGCGCAGCCTCATGTTCCCGCGCAGAGGGAGGCCAGTCGGTTCTGCAAAGCCCCCTCCCGTCCCGTGCGTCCCCGGTAGCCGTCGGTGCGCAGCCCGGCGCCCAGCACTCTCCATGCGTGCGTCGCGGTGTACCCGACGGCGCCTCAGGCCTCGGTGCCTCAGGCGCGACGCTCACAGTTTCCACTTCCGGTCACCCATGTCCCTCCCTGAGCAACTCCCAACGCCCAGTGGGACAAGAAAGAGAGAGAATGGCCACCGGGACGAGCAGGAACCCAAGCCTGGCTCACTCGAGGGGGCGCGAAGCCCAGGTGTGGGTGGGGGGCGCGGCAGCAGCCAAATGCGACTGCCCACAGTAGTGATGGCCGCGGCGGCGGCCTCGCCACGTGACCCGGATGGGCGGAAGCGGAAGTGCCGGCCTGGAGCCAGTGCTAGGTGGGTGTCCCCTCAGCGCTGCCCAGCTGCCGCCTGCACTACCCATGGACTGCTACACGGCGAACTGGAACCCGCTCGGGGACTCCGCCTTTTACCGGTGAGTCGTCCCGCCCTCCCGGCCATGTCCGGGCTTACCCTGGTCGCCCGCCGGCTCGAGTCTGCGGGCGGAGCCGGCGGCACTCTTCCCCGTCACTACTGGCGTTGGGGTCCGCCCCTGCGCCGACTTTCCCGGAGCGTCTGCCACTTAACGCACTGCCGCTTGTGGCCCAGGAGCCGGGCCTTCACCTGCTTCCCCTTCCCCAAACTGGGGCAAGCACGACGGTTATCCCGCAACTCAGGTCTTTGAGCCTCCGGAAGGATGCTCAGAGAAAGGTCGCCCCCGAGTGCTCAGTCTCCTGCCGGAAAGTGCTGCTGAAGTCAGACCACAGGGGCGCTTCGAGGGGGGCGGGATCGCACGACGGGCGGGGTAACAGTACTGACCAAGGCTGAGAGAATGGGGCAAATAGTCAATGAATTCCACTGCACCGGGAACAAGCACCCCTTTCTTGAAGCACCCATCTTATGGGAGTTGTACAGTCCTAAATCACGGGTGTTTCTCGAGTATAGACGTATCACATCATTACCTAGATTTGTATTTTTAAGTAACTTCCTACTTCTGTTAACATACTCACGGGGGGGGGGTTGGTGGTTATGTTGCTGGTTGAACAGAATGCTAATTACTGAGGCAACGAGGATTATTAAGGAGGAAATAATTTATTTCAGAAGACGTGTTAACTGAGAGGAGGAGGCACAGACTATATCTCGAATCTACTTTCACAGGGTCAGGGTTTTTTTATGAAGGTGAAAATGAATGATGCATAAGGGGAGAGAATATCATTACATGTTTGGTAAGAGTGTGGGGCATGCAAGTGCAGTGACAAATCACGCTTGTACATACATCCCATGAACAAAAAATGGTGAATGATTGCTTCTTGGCCTTCTGGCTTAAGATCAAGTGTAAAAAATAGTGAGTAAATCCACTGCCCCCAACCCAGCACTCATTTTTTTTTTTTTTTTTGCAGATTTTTGGCTGGAGCTGGGTTTGAACCACCACCTCCAACATATGGGACTGGCGCCTTACTCCTTTGAGCCACAGGTGCCGCCCCCAGCACTCATTTTTTAAAGTATTAACTTACACTACAGGCAGTCCCTGGGTTATGGACAAGATAGGTTCTATAGATTTGTTCTTAAGTTGCATTTGTATGTAGGTTGGAACAGGTAAATTTACCTATTACCTTTAGTATCCTTCATTAGTACGTGGGAGTTATACATCAGTTGGATGTTTGTAACTTGAGGACTTAGTGTAATAGCCCTCATTTGTAACTGCAAATGTTTGTAACTCTAGGGGGTCCTGTACTTTGATAATACATGTTGCTAACCAGGCTTATTAAATCACAGAGTACTGAGGATAATAGCTTTCCTACAACAGAGTTGCTGTTTATTATTTGAAGTCTAAGCTTTGTCCAGCCTGAAATCCTAGCACTCTTGGAGGTCAAGGTGGGAAGATCCCTTGAGCTCAGGATTTTGAGACCAGCCTGAACAAGAGCAAGACCCCCATATCTAGTAAAAATAGAAAAATTATCTGGGCATGATGGCAGGCACCCGTAGTCCCAGCTATTCGGAAGGCTGAGACAGGAAGATTGGTTGAATCCAGGAGTTTGAGGTTTATGTGAGGCAGGCTAATACCATGGCACTCTAGCCTAGGCAACCAGAGTGGAAATGCTTTAAGGACGGGCACTTAATTTTTTCCCTCTGTGTGCATAGCCTTATGCGTAGTCAGGACCTAAATACATGTTTAAGTAAGTGGATGAATGATAAACATGCAGCAGACATTGCATTTTGAGCCCTTTGGGCAAGACAGGATTCTTTGCATTGAAAGTAGCATTTTGGAGAATTCAGTGTGGAAAGACAGAAAAAGAAATCAAAATACATTACTTAAACATTAAGTTTTAATTCAACAGGTTAATATGTTATCATATTGCATTCTCATTTATAAGTGAAATATGTTTGTAATTTCCCCCTTATAATAATATATTTTCTCCAATTTTAACATCAAGTATATCAAGAAATTATGACCAATTCTTGTGGGGCTCCAGAAGTCAAGCCATTTTTATATCCTAAAAGTACAATTTGGGCTAATCTGATTAATTAATTTAACCCAGCCCTTTGCTTGGTTGTACCTGTGTTGACCATTAAGATAGACATGGTCCCTGCCTGACTTCATAGAGCTTAGCAGGCAAGTCAGTTGACAATCACTCAGTATTTGATCATAATAAGTATGTGGGAATGTACAGGAGCATATAACCTAAGAGAGCATATAGCGGATTAGAGGGGGAGGGTCAAAACTAGAGAAGACTTTCTGAGAGAAATAATATCCCTGGATGAGTAAACTTAGGTGCAAGAAGTGGGATGGAGAAGAGGATGTAGAAAAGTCCCAAGGCAGGAAGGACTGAGGCACTCCCAATGACCTAAAGAGAACCAGTGTGGCTGGAATGCCATACATAGCAGGGGCAGGATGTGAGATGAGGCTGATGCAGGGACTTGTAGACCACTTTTTTCAGAAGGAAAATGGAAAGCCTAAATTAAAGGATCTTAAAGGATTTATGTTTGGTTTTGCAGGGGGTTTTGTGTGTATGTGTTTTAAGTTCCTCTGGAGGCAACAAGGGGAACAAATTGGAAAGGGAAAGCAAGAACGGAAAGCAAGGGAGACCGGTTAGGAGCCCTATGCAATAGACTAGGGGGAAGTCGAGGGTGGTGAGTACAGAGGTGGTGATGGTGAGGTGGGGAGAAAGGACCAGTCTGAGAGATTTAGAAGATAACACAGAAGGAGTTTGTAATGATTGCACTTTGTGGGAAGGAGAAAGAGCAAGGACTTAAGGATGACTTGGGTTTTTGGCATAAACCACAAGAAAGGAAGAGTGGAAGAGTTTAGTGTAAAAGAAAGCAAGCATGGTTTGAGTACATTAAGTTTCAAGTGTTTTAGAAACATCCTTATGGTAAAAGAAAGGAGGTAAAAATACATTATATATTCCTGAAATCATTTTTAGAAGGGAAGATGACTTAAATAGTTGTGTTTTTTGTTTTGTTTTGCTTTTTGCATATATAAACACAAACATTTCATATATAAACATGAACACAAAATTGCGATTAAATATACAATAAGGATAGGATTTACAATCCTAACTATTCTTGAGTGTACTGCTTAGTAGTATTAAGTATGTGCGCTTTGTTCTGCACCTAGTCTCCAGAACTTTTTCATCTTCCAAACTGACATTCTATAAGGAATTGATGGAAAGGTGCATACACACAAAAACTCCCCTGAAATTCTGTACTCATTAAACAATAACTCCCCATTTTCCTCTCCCCCAGTCCATGGCAACTACCATTCTCTTTTCTGTTGTCTCTATGAATTTGACTACTATAGATACTTCATATAAGTGGAATTATACAATATTTGTCTATTTGTGACTGGCTTATTTTATTTAGCATAAATAAATGTCTTCAAGGTTCATTTTGTAGCATGTGTCAGACTGTCCTGAATAACATTCCATTGTGTATATATATGTATATATATTCACACATATGTACATATACATATATACACATATATATACACCACAGTTTGCTTATCCATTCATCCATCAGTATATAATTGGGTTGCTGTCAACCCTTGGCTGTTGTGAATAGTGCAGCTATGAACATGGGTGTACAAATATCTTTTCACTATTATCTGTACTATGCTTTTACTTAGTTTGGGTTTATACTTAGAAATGAAATTGCTAGATCAGATCATGTGGTAATTCTATGTTCAATTATTCGAGAAAGTGTCATGCTATTTTCCATAGCAGCTGCTGTACCATTTTACATTCCTGGCAACAGTGCTCAAGAGTTCTTCAGTAGTATTTGCTTTTGAGATAGGATGGACTTTTTAGGGCTTGGGGATTTTGGAATTACAGAGTTATTCCCCAAGGTACGACCTGACTTGCTTCTTCCTCCCCAGACATCTGATATCCCAGTCTGGACTGGCTGGAGATCACCTGTTTTCACACAAGAGCTTTTCACCCTAATGGACTATGCTTCTCTAGCAGTTCAGCTGCATTGCCACAGGGATTTCTTCATTGTTTTCTGCAGGGAGCTGGAATTGAAGCTACCAGAACTATTAGATTTAATGATTTCCTGGTACTAGAATCCAGGATCCATTTACTGCTGCTGAGATTTCCACTTCTGGGGCCTGGGAGTGGAGAGAAAGATGTAGCTGGCCTTCCTTACTGAGGGTGTGGCCTGTCCTCAGAGTCCTTGCTCTTAGGCTTTTCCAGAGGCTAGCCTTCACTTTGCCTGTCCATACCTTGTGCTACCCCATGCTACCCTCCAGGCACAGCTTAAGTCACCTCACTGTCCTTGAGAAGTATACTTTATGTTGAGAACTTCAAGAGGTGGTGGATGCATTGCTGCTCTTAACTCCCTGGTCCTTACTTCTGTACCCCCTTCAGGGGCTTACTGTACTAGGCTGTGCCTCTTCACTGCCAGGTCCATGTAGCTCCCAGTATGGTGGGGCATATTTTATTTATTTATTTATTTATTGGGGACAAGAGTCTCACTCTACCCTCAGTAGAGTGCCACAGTGTCACAGCTCGTAGCAATCTCAAACTCTTGGGCTTAAGTCCCAAGTAGCTGGGACTACAGGCGCCTGCCACAATGCCTGGCTAAATGCTGGACATATTACTCACTAGTTGTTTGATTGGAGGTTTTGGCCCACAGCCTTCTAGGCACCTTATCTCTTGCCACTTCCAGAGCAACTTAAGTAGCCACCTGGCTTCATGGTTTCTTGACCTCTACTTGAGTGATTTTTATCCACCATAGTCACCCTCTCCCTGCATCTCACCCCACCTCTTCTTATCAGAGCTGCTCTACCTCTGAAATATTAAATTCAGACAGCCCCCTCTTTGGCCACAAGCCCTTGGCTGCACTGATACTCTGATGCCTCCTGATAGACCTGTTCTTTAGCTTCACAGGGATCCCCATTCATGCAGCCTTCTGTTCTCGTTGTGTCAATGTGTA